ATCTTCTGAATGCTCACACATAAGGTGTTGGAAATAGCTATGTGGTTTGGCCAAGTAGCATCAGTTTGGGCTTCAGAAAACTATTGCTGTTTCTTTCCTCCAAGACTTTATGACTTTCCTGCTAGAATGCTCTTTCCTTTTTTCCAACCTGTCAATTGTGAATGTCACATCCTTTAAGAGCCTTGGCTGAAAATCCTATACGTATCTTTTTCTTATTCACTTTACCCTAATGTAATGAAATTCTCTCTCTGTGACTGTTGAGTCTGTCTGTCTTACAGGGGAAGCTCCTGAAAGGTGGGGAGGAGCCTTTATTCATGAGGGTATCTCAGCACACAGCTACTGCCCCCAGTAGCATAACGGCAGAGATAGGACAATAAGCTTTTATTTTAAAGGAATTTTTAAGGAAAATGAAGAGGCTAAGGCAAAAGGTAACTTGTGCACTCTTAAAAAGCCTTTCTGTTAAAGGGAAAAAATCATTCTGACACTTATTAAAATGGTAAGGAAGACTTTATAAGGTACTATTGCAATAGTTATATTAGGGAGTAAACACTTTTCCTCTGCTATCTTAGTTTAAGTGATTGGGAACCTGCAAATTGACACAAGACAGTAAAAAAAAAAAGTAGCAGAGTATGCAACCCCAAAATATGCCACTTTGGTATAAGGATTATTTTGAACTGAAGGCAACTGAGAAGAAGCAGGTACAAGAAAAGCTTTCTGCCTTCCTCATCTTTGCTCCAAAGTAGGACATAAATTTGTAAAGGCACCCCCCCAACCTTCCACCACCACCATCTCTCTACTAGGAGGGACAGAAGTTTAATCAATCACTGGAGATAACTCTACACCCTTATCATCCCAGAGGTGGCAGCAGAGGGATCTACATAACAAATTTTGCTAAGTAGCCCTTATCTTCCATTAGTTCCCCCATATATTTAACTTCTCACAATTTGCCACTCTTAGAAACTCAAGGTCCTTTTCCTTTGTCTCATCGCTTCTCTAAAATGTTAAGATGATTGTTAAGATGCTACATAAGCCCAAGTTCTAAACACCCATTTGAGTTACTCATCACTGAGTAGTCCCATTTGTGTACATGAAGCATGCATTAATAAACTTGTTTATTTTTCTCTTGTTAATCTGTCTTTTGTAGAATATGAAAATGAATATTTGTATGTATATGTGTGACTGAAACATTATGCTGTATACCAGAAATTCACAGACACATTGTAACTGGATTATACTTCAGTTTTTAAAAATCTGCCCTTTTTTTCACTCTCATTTGCAAGATGTCAGCCAATGAACCTAGGATGGGTAAAAGAAATAGATACTTTTCCTCCCCTATAACAGATTAGCAAGAGAAAAGACCTATTTTTTAAATTCATGTATGTACATACAGGAATTCACAGAAAAATGTGATTTGAGGAGGCATTTAGAATTAGGGAAGGGGAGAGGAAGAAGGGAACTTATGGGAAAAAAAATAACTTTGTGGAAAGAGAAAATGGCCCTGAGGAGAACAGATGGGAGACATGGTAGTTTTGTAAAATATCTGTTTATGTGATGCGGCAGCTTCTCATCTTTGATGATAAAAGTCAGTCTTCCCTGGTTGCTCTCAGAAAGAGGATTTATGACAGTTTAGTTCTTTGGGAAGGCTCTGCTTTTAGGCAGATAAGAGATTTCAAGAATTCAACTGCCTTCTTTTTCAAAACAATTTTTATGCCATAGTGGCTTATTCTGGACTCCATCAAGTGTCAAGACTATCACAATAGGGGAGAGAGATCGGGCTCAACTCTGAATACAACAAGGTCAAGTGGGAATTTATAGCCAATGGGCAGAATGAGGGGTCAGTGGATGGAAAATTACTAAGAGGAGACATCAAGGGTAGGGGGATTCTTGCTAAACCAACTCTACGGGATTCTTACATGAAGGCAAGCCAGGGTCATCAGATATAAAGGGTGAGGGATATCTTTAAACTGACTTAGTAGATTCTTGCTACAACTGGACTAAGCAGGCAGAAGACAGGGCCCAAGGACAAGGACTAGTTGAAAAGAGGTCTCAGAGGAGCCTAACTACAGTTTGATCACAGAAAGAGTCTTTGTCACTTCTGAACTCAAATTGAAGCTGACTGTAGTATTTATCAGGTGTCATCTGAACGCCAAGGTCGCTCTGTGACGATGGCCTAAATACAGCCAGAGACACAAATGTGGCATTTGAGCCTTCTGGTTTTATATCTTAGGTCCATATTGCTTTTCCTGCTCTACTCACAAAAAAGAAAGGAGAAATACCATCTAACCAAAAATGACCCAGGAAACCTATGGAATGGTAGAAAATACTTTTAAGCCATATATCTGATAAGGGGTTAATATCTAGAATGTATAAAGAACTCACACAACTCAATAACAAAAATATCCAATTTTAAAATGGGCAAATGGGGAGAGTATATCTCAGTGGTAGAGGGCTTGGGTTCAATCCCCAACACCTCTGTTAAAAATTAATTAATTAATTAATTAAACCTAATAAACTCCCACCAACAAAATTTAATAAAAATTTTAAAAATAAGCAAAAAATTTTAATTGGGCAGAAGAACAAAACAGACATTTTTCCAAGGAAGGGACCCAAATAACCAATAGGTACATGAAAAGATCTTCAACATCTAATCATCAGGGAAATGCAAATCAAAGCCACAATAAGATATCACCTCATGTCTGTTAGGATAGCTATCATCAAGAAGACAAGAGACAACAAGTGTTGGTGAGGATGTGGCAAAAAGAGAACCCTTGCACACTGTTGGTATGGCCACCATTCTACAATAGAAAACGGAATGAAGATTCTTCAAAAAATTAAAAATAGAGCTATTCTATGATCCAGCAATCCAACTCCTAGGTATATATCTGAGGGAAATGAAAATAGGATATTGAACAGGTACCTGCACTCCCATATTTATTGCATTATTCACAATAGCCAATATATGGAAACAACCTAAGTGCCTATCAATACATGAATGGATAGGGGGAGGGTATAGCTCAGTGGTAGAATACATGCTTAGCATGATGAGGTCCTGGGTTCAATTCCCAGTACCTCCATTAAAAATAATAAACAAACAAACAAACCCAATTTCCTTCCTGCCAAAAAAACAAAAACAAAAAAATACAACAAAAAAAACCCCAATAGATGAATGGATAAAGATATGAGGGGTGTGTGTGTGTGTGTGTGTGTGTGTGTGTGTGTGTGTGTTACAAGGGTGGGAAAAATTTTTGCTTCTACTCTTCTAGGTTGTTTGGCTGGTCTAATAATTAAATTGACATAAGACAGATTAACAGGGGAAAAACAAATTTAATCTCAGACATACAGGAATCCCATAAAAAAATGCAGAAAGGCGAATGACGTCCTTAGCCATCCGGAGCTAAGGAATTAGATAGGGGCCTGGAACTTCAAAGGAGAGGAAGGCAAGTCACAGGATGATAAGAAAAGCAGAAGTTTTCCCTGCTATGCGGGTAAGTCTTTCAGATAAAAGGTTATCTCTGGTAATAGCACTCTTTCTGGACCAGGTCCCCTATCTAAATCCTTTTGGGCAGTTAAAGGAGAGGTAAAAAAAACTTTCTTGAGTTTGCTGGGTTTTGATTGCCTTCAGCTTAAAATAATCCACAGTGTGGCACATTTTGGGGTGGCATATTCTGCTCCCCTTTAATATAATGGAATATTATTCAGCCACAAGAAAGAAGGAAATCCTGCCACTTGCAACAACATGGATGGACCTTGCAGACATTATGCTAAGTGATATAAACCAGACAGAGAAAAACCAATACTATATGATCTCACTTACATGTGGACTCTAAAAAAGCCAAACTTGTAGAAACAGAGAATAGAATGTTGGTTACTAGGGGCTAGGAGGGTAGAGAATTGGGGAGAAGTTGGTCAAAGTGTACAATGTTATGATTAGAAGATGAATAAACTCTGGAGATCTAATGTACAGCATTGTGATTAAAGTCAACAATACTGTATTATGTATACTTCAAATTGCTGGGAGACTGATCCTAAATGTTCTCATGACAAAAAAAGAAATGATAATTATGTGATGTGAGAGAAGTGTTAGCTGATGCTATGGTGGTAATCATGTTGCAACATTTAAGTGTATCAAATCAATTGTATACCTTAAACATACATACCATCATATGTCAATTGTGTCTCATTTTTAAAAAATGACCGAATGAGTGTTCATAAATATCCCTTCGATGCTATAAAACCTAAAGGGGCTGTGGGAATTCTATTGTAGAAGAAAATATAAAAATTATTTTAAAATAAAAGTATTTCTTAATAAGAAGAGGAACAAAGATTCTTGACAGTGATAGGGATCAGGACACGCTATCCCAAAATATGGTATCTTGACATACTGAGTATTTTAGCTGATGGAGTTTGAGAAAAGAGCAGAAGCACCTTCCATGCACCTTTCTTCACTGAGACAGGTCACAAAACCCTAATGTTTGAGGTGCCACAGATACACTCAGAGGAAAGGAGCATCCTTATCTCTGAAGACAAAGGGACACAGAGAAAAATCCAAATGGGCCTTGCTAAGTTTCCCCCAGCTTACTATACTCACTCTTTGACCTATCATATTCCTCCACAACTGTCTGCTTTTCATCAAGCCCAGCATAAAAATCCTCAGGTCTGTTTCATCCAATCTTTATTTCCTCCAAAGGCTCCCATGTCACATAAAACTTATATTAAATAAATGCACATGCTTTTCTCCTGTTAAACTATCTTTGTTGTTTAATTTTCAGACCCAGCCAGGAATCCTAAGAGGGTCGAGAAAAACTTTTTCCTCCCTATGGCTGCATTCAGGGAGCTTTTGAGCAAAATTTGTAGGGGCCTGTTCTCACAGGAGTGGAACTTTTGGCTCCCACTGAACTATTTGTTGTGATGAGCCTTCCTAGTTCTCTTGTCTTTTTTATCTCCCCTCACATCCTCTTGCCCCCCACCATGCTTACCCGTGTCTCCATTCCTTTTCTCACCTCATTATGGCCCCCCAGGGGCCCTCTCCTCTGTAACTTGGTCCCGCAGCTTCCGCAGGTGGTTCATGAAACTATAGCGACTCCTTTTGATTCACCAGAGCAAAGCTGTAGTCATTCAAATGACGAAGGAAAAGAGGGTGCAGAGGAAAAACTGTCCTAAAAGGGAAATTGAAAAGGACAGAGTTATTTTAAAAATTAAAGCCAACACAGAAAGATAAAATATACAAATTTCTCATCTCCTTCTTTTCTTCCCCCATCCCCTATACAGTTCAAAGCGATCCAAAGTTTTCCAAAAAACCTCATTATGAACAACTTCAGAGAAGACCTGCCTCAGTGAAAAGGTCTGTAGCCACAGGAACTAGAAGCTGCTAAAATCAGCTGATAGGAATCCTAAAGCTATTAGGATCAAATATGCACCCATTGGAATTCAGTGCATTAAAGATTTAGAGACTCTGTACAAACTACTATGTATAAAATAAGTAAGCTACAAGGATATATTGTGCAGCACAGGGAATATAGCCAGTATTTTATAATAACTTTAAATGGAGTATAATCTATAAAAGTATTGAATCAATATATTGTACACCTGAAACTAAGATAATATTGTAAATCAAGTGTACCTCAAGTTTAAAAAAATTAGAGAATCTAAAATCAAACCTTCTCTGTCACCCTGGAAAAAAAAATCATTGTGTCTCCTGCTGATCATATGGCAAGTCCAACCAAATGGGTTAAACTTTTGGGACTTCCTTACCCTTCCTGAATTCCTAGTCTTCTTCCTATTCTGCATGCCCTGCTTTTCACCCCTCCATTCACCTGGCCAGAAGCCTTGTAGAGAAATATTTGTGTTTCACTGGGAACCTCTGAGTCACCTACAACATGCCCATCCAGGGTTATCCTTCTGTGAGTCTAGCCCTGTTCATTGTCTTTGAGCTACTTTGCAATTCTTTGCAAGCTATAGGTAACTGATAGATATGTAAATTGTTTGGTAGTAATTCTAATTAGCTTCCTTCCCCCCAAAATGGAAAAACCAATGGAAAAAATGGTTTTTCCATTTTGGGGGGCATTTGCAATTCATCTCAACAATCTTTTACTTCATATAAATCTGTACTGGTTTGAGTTTTCCTTTGAACCTGTTATAATATCTGTCTGGTTCTCTCATATCATAGAAGTGACAAAGGCTCTCTCATTGACCAAACTTTGGTTAGGCTTCCCTGAGCCCTCTTCTCAGCTAGGCCTTGATGTTGACCCCACATCCTTGAAGGGCCTGCATAGCCCAGTTGTAGCAAGAATCCTGCTTAAGTCAGTTTAGAGAGTTCCCCTACCCTTGATATCCCATGACTCTGGCTTGCCTCCAGCAAGAATCCTGTTAGGTCGGTTTACTAAGAATCTCCTTGATGTTTCCTCTTGGTAGTTTTCCATCCACTGACCCCCTCATTCTGCTCCTAGGCTATAAATCCACCGCTGTCTTTGATGTATTTGCATTTGAGCCCAGTTCTGTACTAAGGTCTCTTTCTCTCTAATGCAATAGTTCCTGAATAAAGCATGTTTGTATTGCTGTAACTACTGTCAGGCTCTGGTTCTCTTTAATAGAAGTAGAATTAATTCTTTAGCATGTGTTTATTTTCATATCTGTATGAGAGTCATGATTTTACCTTTCCAGACAAGCCCCAAAGCTTATCTGTCAGTTCTTCAAAGGAAAATTGATTCCATACATATCTCTTCCAGAAAATCTTTATGATGTGCTCCTTCAGTTCTGAACCATTGCATATTTGATGAATGTGTGATATGTTGCTTTGGTCTTAGGAAGATTTACTACCCAACATTAGATTGAGTTCCCAAGAATCCAGAGTCATGTGTTTCTTTGATATTCCCAAAGGACCTTGCACAAGACTCTGGTGGAATTTATGTTTGCAGAAATGGCCTCCTGGGGGTGTCGGTCTGACAGGCACCTCCACAGAGGCTGGAGGCAGGAATCATTCAACCAAGGCCATGGAGCCCAGGAACAGCCATTAACATAACCCATGCTCTAAAGCTGCACAGTTTCATTGCCCTGGGGCCTCATTCAGATTGGAAATTCTTTCCCACACACAACACTCACTAATAAGCTTGTTTGTCTAATTCCTTCCTACAGCAGATTAGAAGCAATGACCTAAAAGTGGATTCTTAGCAACAGGCACAATACCAGAAGGGTAAGGGAAAGCTGCATGAAACAGAAGGAAGAGATTTTTAAAAGGAGTACATCAAATAAAATGAGCCACTATATTGCTGGCCAGTTTTTTTAAAAATTGAAGTCTACAGTAAAAATGAATATATGTATATTCGTGTATGACTGAACTATTGTGCTGTACACCAGAAATTGATACAACATTGTGAACTGACTATAACTCAATAAAAAATGTTCAAAAAGAAATAGAAGTCTACAGAAAAGAGCTTGGAACTATGTATAATATCCTCTGCTAAAGGTAAGGCAAAGTATAATATATTGTAGTAAATGTACTTCATATATATGAAGTACTTGTATACATGACATCGCCTCCATTCGTAGGTATATCAGATAGATTTGCTATTACTGAAAGATACAGGATACATCCTTATTATTGTTTGGTTAACATTATCATGATATCAGTACCAGTTAATGTACCTGTATTAGCTTCTAACCATTAGAATACTGGGAGAAACCCTGGTCTTCAGGAAAAACAGCTGCTGGAGACATTATTTTATAGTCAGGAACTATTGCTAGACCTTAACCACTGATGTGTTGTCTGAGGCCAATGTCCCAGAGCCCCTGCTTTGGGGTTCAAGATGACAGCAGGCCTTTTCTTCCCCAGAGCATGTCTTACAGGAAGCCCAACTCTGGGCATTCCTAACTGTGCTAATCTCTTCCCATGAAAGCAAACTTGGTCAAAATTCAGATGCTATCATAAGACCATCACTTACATCTCTGGCCCCTATGGCCAAGGTTCATCTACCTTGTTTCCATGCTGTAGAGCAGTAGCTAGACAGGTGGAAACTACAGAAGACATCTTCTTAGCCTCTCCCCGACCCTACAGATCCCGTAGGGATAGAAGCCTTACCACTTCAGAACAGCACCCAACATTTGTCAACTGGTCACATTGCCTCCTATAAATTCTTCTAAGGTCTGCTTCACACAAAACTGTTAAATATTGCTCTAATCTAAATGCTGGTGTCCTGTTTCCTCTTCAGAATGACTGACTCTCCTGACTATCCAGCAGCCATTTAAACTTGAAGGATTCTTCATCCTGACCTGACTGATGGTCCTTTACAGCAGTGGTTCTCAAAGTGTGGCCTTCAGCATCATCTGGCACTATTTAGAAATGCACATTCTTTGGTCCTACTCCAGATCTTTTGAATCAGAAACTCCAGGAGTGGAGCCCACCAACCTGTGGTTTACTAAGTCCTCCAGGTGATTCTGATGCAAACTAAAGATTGAGAACCACTGCCCTAGACAACCCTATCTGATGTTGGTTGATGGCACATATCTTGAGAATAATCAAGGTATATTTTGTGCCGGCTATGCTATCATTTCTGAATATTCTGCTACTGAAGTTGCTCCTTTACCAGCAGCTCATTCTACTCAGATAGCTGAATGACAGCTACATCACAAGTGTTGTCACTTCACTAAAGATTTAAGAGTACACATCTAACATTCATCCCAATGTTCACAGCAGCACTATTTACAATAACCAAGACACAGAAGCAACATAAATGTCCATTGACAGACGAATGGATAAAGAAGTTGTATACACACACACACACATACACACACAATGGAATACTACTCAGCCATAAAAAGAATAAAATAATGTCATTTGTGGCAACATGGATAGGTCTGGAGATTTTCATACTAAGTGAAGTAAGCCAGAAAGAGAAAGAAAAATACCATCCGATATCACTCATATGTGGAATCAAAAAAAAATGAGACAAATGAACTATTTACAAAACAGAAACAGACTCACAGACATAGAAAACAAACTTAAGGTTACCAGGGGGGAAACGGGGGCTGTGGAGGGATAAATTGAGAGTTCAGGATTTACAGATATACACTACTATATGTAAAATAGATAAACAATAAGGTCCTACTGTATAGGAAACTATAGTCAATACCTTGTAATGGCCTACAATGAAAAAGAATATGAAATATATATATATATATATATATATATATATGAATCATTATGCTGTACACCAGAAACTAACACAACATTATAAACCAGCTATACTTCAATTTTAAAAAAAGGGTACACATCTATACTGATAGGCATATCTTTGGAGATGTTCATGATTTTAGTACATTGTGGAAACAAAGGTTTACTAACTTCTTCAGTCACTCCATATAAAGTGGAAGAAATGTAATAATTCATTGGAGACAATAGAATATCCTACTGAAATATCAGTTATAAAACAGAAGCTCATTCTAAAGATAATACTTTTAAAGCAAAAGGGAATTCCCTAGATGACTATCATGTAAAACAAGCAGTTCTTACTGGTTTTGCTACCAGAGGTATTCTGAAGACACTTGCTCAGTCTGATTTCATGAATCCTGAATGGTTTATTCAAATATGAAAATCAGCCCCCTCAGAAAAAAAATTATGATCATCTTAAAACTGTCAAATATATGATAGACATTGGCATTGCCAAGATGGCTGCTTAACGTCACCAGAGGCCATCTCCAGACCCTTACTGCTTTCTCTGTGAAATTATTCACAATGGTAGAGAAAAATTGGTTCAAACTTAACAAAAATATTGGTGAGGAAACTTTACTCAAGACAGGTGGCCAAATCTTGCCTTATCTGTCATTATCACAACCCAGAAAAAGTTATAAAGAACCCCTGCCTCAAAAATCATTTGAACATTTTCAAATGGATTTCATTCAATTGTCCAAATCACAAAGGTCTAAATGATACTGAAGGGAATTAAGATATGCCAAAATATGTCCCTTTGACATAAGGATTATTTTGAATTAAAGGCAACTGAAAATCAACAGATGCACAAAGAAGCCTTCTCAGAGCGTCAGTTATTACCTAAAAGAAGCAATTTCTGGGAAATAAGGCTGGCATAAATTCTCTCTTCAGGGTGGGTCTACCCTCAAGAGAGAGACCATGAGTAAACCTGCTATAAATGCGCTCTCCAGGGAA